GCCCGCGTAAGCGATCGGTCGATAAATTTGCTATAACTGAGCATCTTCCGCTTCACATCGCTCAAGTCGTCATTCCAACACACCACAATGCCGTGTTGGTCGAGAACACGGTTGACACAGTGTTCAGAATCACAGGAGGAGTGCTGGAGGACCAAAAAGCAGGGGTCACAGAGCCCATCCGGAAGTGACATGATCCCCCAGAGACAGTGGCATCACTATGGTCAGCGGCACCTGGGGCAAAGTAGCCCGCGTGGCCGCCGCCGCCGCCCACCCCCCCCTCCCCCTTCCCCCGCTCTCGTCGCCCGTTGCGACACCTCCCCGAGTGCTGAACCTGGGGCGGTCCCCCCACCCCCTTGTGACGCCACTGCCCAGAGATGTCACTGCGCATGTGACTCGGAAGTACACTGTTGCAGATGCACGAGTTGAGAGGCACCGAAAACTTCAATCTTTGCCATTTTTTTAAATAAAAACTAGTCCATGGAAGCAGAAATGGTTTTCTCTTCTTGAACCTAGAAACGACAAAGACCAACTCCCACAATTATTTGCCCTGAATTCGGAAATCGTTGCACTGCCCTTTTAAATAACTTTCTTCTTGCAGGTACCATGTCCTGACTCCCTTGGAGTGCTGGCTTCCAGCAAACGTGAGACATTCCGGCCTCTCAAGGATTCCTGTGCGCAGTCTTCCAGGGCAACAGACAATGACCTGCTGATTGCAACGTCACAGAAGGTGACTAGACTTCTGCAGGTAGCCCATTAGAACCACAGTAACGTTAGGTTGGAATTCAGCTTCCAGATGTGCCTTTTCACTCAAACGTTCAAATAATTCCTGCTCAAACAGACGCGTACCCGGTAAAAGCAAAGGACGCGCAAACAAGATTAAGTGGCTGACCTTCCAAACGAGCTGGATAGTACACATTTCCAGGACTGCACTACTCCACGGAAGTAAAAGGAGTTGTCTTCTACTACTGTGCCACGGCTAAGCAACATGAATTTCTGAAGCCGTCAAGGCAGCAAACTCCGGATGTTTTCACTGTGCTGTATCTTTTTTTTTTTTTTTCGTTAAGTATTTTTATGTGGCATTTCCCTCCAGGCAGGGCTGATTTTTATTTTTTTCGTAATAAAAAGGTATTTTTATAATGACTACATCTGCTAACAGCATTCCCCCTCCCCTCCCCTCCCCCTCCCCCCCCCCCCCCTCCCCTCCCCCTCCCCCCCCCCCTCCCCCCCCCCCCTCCCCCCTCCCCCCCCCCCCCCCCCCCCCCCCCCCAGAATTCGAATGGATTTACGTCCTTGCAGCAATTATTAGAAAGGCACATGCTTTTAGATACTAGTTCATTGTGATACTGAATTAACTTTCACACAGCTCAGAATTCAGGCAATTCACTGTTGCAGACTTGGGGGGCGAAATTAATGCAATGATGAAATATGCTTGTCTGTCCGGTTCATGGTCCCAGCATCTGTGTCCTGCTACTCTGAAGTTCTACAAACTCTTTCTAAAATGACGGTATTGTCCCCTTGCCCCTTTGCTCCACACGTGAGGGGACTGAATGCCCTTTGACACCCTAACCTTCTTAAAACCCCTTTTTCGACTCCCGAAAACGGGTTAACCCTTCCTGGGCGATTGAAACAAGCACAATTCCTTTATTTTATGGCTCAGTTTCTCAACAAAGGTGCGTGAGTCGGTGAAAGAATTCAACTCAGTTTTTTTTCAATATGCATTGATGTGTGATGCTTGAGAACACCGCCCACTCTGTCGCACACGCTTTTTCCGTGCCCTGATGCTGAGTAGATCCACTTGTGACACTTGTCTTCTTCTCCAATTGGTATAACTGGCAATGACTTTTGAAGTGTCTAGGAGCTTGTCAGAAATATAAAATACATCAGAAAACACGTGCAGCAGCTCCTCAAGTCGTTCTTCAATAAATGCGAGTGCAAAGAGCATGTGTGCAGAGTCGTGGCAAATTTCATCACTCACCACTCCAAAGCTTAGCGTTCCCTTTGTGGTCGTGGCTACCCAGGTGAAGATCATCACCATCTTGTTTTTCCATTGGTAGCTTTGCACGGCACGTTGGATAACAACACTCCATTTTTGACTAAATCGAAGAGTAACACCACGGCACTTGGCTGTACACTCGCTTTTTCGAGGCATATGGCATTTCGTTGAGCGCATTTGATGTAAAAGTGAGGTATGTATTTTTTCATCTAATTCTGAACCCGGGACAATCCAGCTGGATCCAGTTGGATTGTCTCATTACCAGCTGGATTCAACTGTGATAAGTTCCATAATTCATCTACCAGTGGACCGTTTCCCTCCTCGGCGAATTGTCACAAAGAAAAAAATTCCTGAATATCTTCAAATGTTGTGGTCTTCCTTGTGGCATTTGACAGAGATGTGAGGCAAAGTGAGAAGTTGGCACAGTACACACACACACACATTCTTCGTGAATTGGACGTTCCTTAACCCACTTAAGTCGAAAAGAGTAAAATGTTAATAGGGCTATTCTTTATTCGGGATGGCCCGCTTTGAATTCTTCGGAGGCTTCGCTAATCGATCTTGTCATGAACCGTTTCGTGATGTAGACTTCATTTCCATCAGTGAAAAGCCGCATGACATTTTCCTTATTCGGGCTTTGCTTTGAACAATCCATAGCGTCTGACGTGCAATAGGCTAGAGCAAGAGTCATATCATTTTTGTCAATAGCATGGCCTTTGTACAAGTCAGTCGTTGCCCAGATCCCCATTTCTATTTTGAGTTTTCTTGACATGTCCACAGTATGCTTTGTGGCTTCAGGGATTGCTTTTAAAATATCTTTCTTTTTTGAGATTGGCGGGCAACAAAGTTAACAGGCAGTAGCGGTCTATTTGCAATATGCTTTTAGATAGGCAACACACAAATTGCTGACCCAGTGTGCACATGAGGAACATGACTCTTCAATGTCCAGATGTACATGTGCCGCGTACATATGGCTCGGTTTACAACCAATTTCATTTTGGAACTCTTGGTCACTTCGGGTTGTTTCCGTTTAACATAGCTGGCACGTCTGAGCGGACTTACGCAACGGAGCTTCAGCAGGTGATGATTAGCTCAATGGCAATGTTTTCTGACCTCTCTGATGTTTTCCAATCTGACTGCAGAGCATTGTGTAGCAGTTCTTGCACATGACATCATTGGGGTCTACGTGCTCGGTAACCGAGGCCAAGCTCTAAAACTTTACGGATATAGCAACTGAAATAAATGATTGTCTTGTGCCTTCTTGAATAATTGGCGCCCGCTTGCTGGTCTTCACTGAACTTGCAAGCCACAGCACAAACAAATGCTCCTGGCTTTGTGGCAACAAGAAAGTCCACTTTTCCAGTACATTAAGCTTAGAATGGAGATAAAGTAAACACCAGAGCTTCGAGATTGCTTGAGCCAGTTGGGAACCGAGTAGGTCCCCACTATCCCCTTCTTCTGTGGACCACTTCAGATAGAGTCCACGGGAGGCAGAGGAGGGGGAAGGAAGCAGCACCGACTCTGAGCTGACCTCCAAATGCCCGGTCTTGTGATAATCCGCGTTTGCTGTTGCTCCCTATACTTCGTTTCAGCTTCGGTCCAGACGCAGCCAATGCTACAAGCGCGAGCTCCGGGCTTTCAGCATCCCTGCCAAGCATGCGCGCTCGTGCAGTGCAAGCACTGTTCTGGGCCACATGCTCGCGCTTGTAGCATCGGCTGCGTCTGGACCGAAGCTGAAACGAAGTATAAGAGATAACCCTTTGAGGCTCTTGTGTGGTCCACTAGGTGGCCGTCTAACTTATACCATCTGTAAGAACTTGGAGCCGGAAATCGAAGACTGAAAGGAAGTGGTATCTACTTCAAAGGAAATGTGCCACAGATTATGCAGGGATGATGAGATGATAGGAAAGCGAACTTACGAATACCGAATCTTTTTACTCCGCATTATGCACAATTTTCCTTATTTGTACACTACATGTAAAGGCAAATATTAATACTCAGCCATTATTCATATCCATGCCACAATATTGGCCATAAAAGCACCCATGCGGAGGCGCATTCAGAATGCACACCTTACAAGATTCAAGCTTTAATTGAGGACATACAAACAATACACTACACTTTATATTTATATTTTCTAATAAACCACTATCATACCTTGCTAATAAAAAAAGATGAAGGAAATAAAAAATTAGGTTTTTAAAGAAATCAATCCTGAATTCGCAAGATTTTTGGAACATTAGTTAATTCAAATGTATGTAGCACATTGTTTCTTCCAGATAAAATATTGAATTTATATTTAATCGAAAGAACTAAGTTTGGGCTTTCTGAAGATATCAAGTTCATTAGATAGGTTACACATAAAAGATTGCCAAACTTTGCCGAAATTAATCAAAAAGACAGAGTTTGGCATTTTTTCAAGAATGTTCCAAAGTACTGTAAACGACTAGATTTTCGCGAGGACCTAATTTTCGCGAATTTCGCGAATCGCCTACAACTCGCAAAAAAATACTTCCCGCAAATAGTTCGGGCAATATGTGAACGCTACGGAAGCTACACTCGATTCGCGAAAATTAGAACCCATGAATAATTTCAAATTTTCAGCTTTGGCCCGATTCGCGAAAATTAAGTGGTTTACAGTATATAAAAAAAATTCCATTTCATTAAGCGCAATGAAAACTGTTTAGAAAGTGTCACCGAAGAGCCCTAGTGCAGTAGTTTGAGAAGTGACAAAATAATGAGTGGTCAAACACGTGATCTCAGACAGGCTGAATAAATGCCATTTTTCACCTGGACCGCTTCATGGCCAATAAATTGAAAACAAAAATCCGCCAAGCTTGCAGTTTGTGCTCTTTTTCATTTAAAAAATGCGGCCTAAACATTCTTTTTAATCAAAATTAAAAATGAGACTCTAAAACAATGCCTGAGTTGAGATGAAAACATCCACACACAGCTTTTTTTTCAGTTCAGACTGACTCTGTGAACAATCAAAAGAAAAGAGACTTGCCTCAATTACCGCTCCCACGGCACTTGTGAACAGGACAATGCGACTGGTGTCTTCGTCAAGCAAGTAAAAAAACACAATCACTTGACTGAGTCCACGCCAAAGCACACCCCTTAAAGATAAGCCTTCGAAGGTTTTCTTGCTTCGCCAGAAGTTTACATCATTTTTGAATGCCAGGAAGTCAAAGAGCAGCTAAAAGAGACACATGCTAAATTAATCTGAGAATAATTCAGAAAATAGGGCTGTCAAAAGCAATTATTGCATACAAACTACAGAGTGATTAATACAAAGCACCAGAAAGAAACAAACATGAAGGAGAGCAGATTGTGTAGCATACCGCATGAAAGAATTTTCTCATGGTCCTGAGTATCTACCATCATAGCCAATTAGGCACTGGAAAAACCTGTGCAATCAAGCCGCTCATTAAAGGGGCACTCAAGTGCTTTTTGTAGAAGCTTGTTTTTGGTGGCATATTGTTGGGCTTTAGTCAATAAATATGACCAGTTCTAGATGGCAAAACGTTCCAGTAAACTCCCAGCAATAGAAATACACAGACACTATTTCTCTTGCTGGGGGGGGGGGGGCATCCTTGGGTCCCCACCGCCATAAGTACGATTTGACCAATGAAAATAGTTAACTGCATGGAGATTCGAAACATTACTATTATTGCTCATTTTAAGTGCATTGTGCATCATATTTTGACAAAAAAAAAAGAATGCCATATTTTTGGATGTAGAGATATAATACAACAATTATTGCTGCAAAACGCTGTCTGACGGTGCCCCCTGGTGTCTGCTTCAAGGTGCAGAGAGAGGGGCGTGTCATGATCTTTGATTAAATTTTTAATAGAAATATCAACTGCCCATGAGTGTAATTATTATTTTTTTTAGGATGCTTAAAGTTTGTAGAATGAGTTATCACCATAAATAGACAATCTCAGAATCCACTTGAGTGCCCCTATAACTTGGTGCTCTGCCAAAACAAAGGACTGGTGTCTGCTTTTCTTGTCAGGTCAAATTCAGTCACAGGTCTCCCATATCAAAGTCTGGATTATATCAGGGTATATCAGGCTTAAATAAAAACACTTCAGTCAAGCAGAAATGAGCAACTCACATGAAACCCAGACACCAACAATGTCATGAGCAAGACATAAAAATTGGTGTCGAAGAAGATTCCCTTCACTTCATCTGTATCTTTGGTCGTCAGGCCTATTTAAACATGGGTGCAGAAAATGGGTGGAGAGTGAAATGTGAAAAATGCCACCAATTGTAATGATTGTACCTAAAAGAGTAAGCAACCTACCGAATGAATGCATAGACTTCAGAGCCTCATTGACAGTGACCATTAGGCGGAGCCGGCCTATTGTTATTGGATTAATCACAATCTTAAGTGGCAGTTGAGGCACAGTTTTGTTGACAGGCTAGGAAGAAATAAATGCATGATTTCATAAGCACACAATGAAAAGAGCCTTAACGACCTACACCTAATACTCATTACCGGGGTGCTTTGAATGACATGATGCATAGTACATGGGCATTTTGTGCAACAGTTACAAACATTTTTTTCTTAAAAATGTAAAAAAAAAAGGGATTATCTCAAAGGAAAACTACAATGAAATTTACAAGCTAAAGCTAAACTAGTTTTTGCAAAATATGATTACAGATCCCACGGTGACATCAATTTAAAAAGCTGAACTGCTATAATTCATAAAAATGAAAGAGACCATCATAGTTGCTAACTAAAGATATTTATAGAGCCTCCTGTCTTGAGGTCTACATTACCACCTCCATACAAAATTTAAAAAGCATAATATTTCATTGTAAGGTATTGCCAAATATCTGGCCCAAAGGGGAACTAAAACAATGATAGTCTATTTATGGCCATAACTCAATCTATAAACTCAAAGCATTAAAAAAAAAAAAAAATTACATTAATGTGTAGTCGATTTTTCTATTAAACTCAGCATCAAGAGATTGACACCAGATGGCGCCGTTGGACGAGGAAGGGCAGAGCCCTGCCCTTCCTCGTGCAACGGCGCCCTGTGCTGTCTGTAATAGTTTCGAGGTGATAAATCTTTTGACACCGATTTTAACAGAGAAATCGGCCATGCGTGAATGTAATGTTTGGTGCTTTTTAGGATGCTTAAAACCGATAGATTGAGTTCTCACCATAGATAGACTATTGCAGGAAGTGGTTTAGTGCCATTTAAAGTTAAATTTTACAGCCAAGAGGCTGTAAAATTAAAAATTTGGAGAACTTTATTAACCCTTTGACGATCAAGTTTTTTTTCCAGGAAATGTTTTCCAGTAATTAGATTTTGCTTCCAAAGGAAAAGTACTACAAAGAAAAAGTCAGTGCAAAGGCTTTTTCCTTAATTATCTAACAAGAGCACATACAGCTCCTGCCAGTTCTTCTGGTTTAGAAGCATCAAAAGAAAATATTGAAGGCGAAAAGTTGCCTACTTTCTTCCATTCAGTTTCATTTTGGCGTGTCTGCCCGCACACCATTCTGGAGGTCTCAGATTCTAAACCGGAGGTACTTTACAGAGCGTTCCTGTCGGGTGGTCATCTCTCATCCTCTGAATTCAATTCCGAGAAGCGTTAGACGTCTGGATCGGAAGAAGCAGTACTCCAATTGCCACTACCCCCAGAACAGCCGACATGCGAAGTGACCATTCTGCGCGCATCATCACACGGAGCGTCTAATTTCAAAACTATAAATAGCCCCAGAAAAGTGAAACAATGTGCTAACATAATATTTATAGATTGCCAAAGACAAAACAAATAGTAATGCCTCCCGGGGAGTTCGCGGTTTCGTGTTTAAGCAGGCGCTTTCAAATCTGTAATTGCCGCCTTATATGTATGGCAGCGACCGCCAAAGGGATAAGGCTAGCATATAATTTCTAGAAGTTCTAGCTCAAACTCTAAGGGTTCCAGTAAGTCTCCAGTTATTAATTAATGAGCAAGCATTCTAACAAATTTGAACTAGTACAATGGGACACTAAATCTCACATGTGCATCTTGCACAAAGAATGTTTTAAATCAAAATATCAGTGTTTTAAAATGACACCATGCAAACTTACCACAAAATCTTTCTCTCTCGTTGTAACATCCGTCATGTGAATGATGGGCACATACTGACGCTTTGAGTTGATTCTAGAAGTAGAATAAACCAAAGTTTTGTGGTGCACAAAAAAAAAAAAACACACACACACCAAAACATGAAATTTGATATATAAGCGCACTGCATTTTCCAAACTATGCTGTGCTACTGTAAGGTCACAAAAGCAAGTTTCAGTTAAACCTCTATCCTTACACAGCCTTGTGGGACTAAAGGACTAAATGTTCCAACTTCGAACAGTCACATAATGCAGTGGCTCCACGTCACAATTTTCTACTCCAGAACACATGATTGAAAAGGTTTACTCCGACTTAACATAACAAATTAATAACAAAAGGTACAGACGTTTCGCCACCTATGCAGGTGGCATCTTCAGTATACACTGACACAAATGAGGTGAGGTCGACCAGTCTACTTATCACACACGTCCCCGTAAACGTCCGGCAGGGGGCCACGGTTGGTGTTGCACACCGATGAGTCACGGCGAATGAACCAGGACTCGACGAATTTTCTTTGCCCCCACCTTTGTTCTCGGGCCAGCGTCGTCGCATTGTCCAGGTCAAAACTGTGTCCTGTCGTCCAGCAGTGTTCGACAAGTTCTGTCTTGGACCGCGTGGCATGGGTGGCCTTGGCAACGTCCCTTTTGTGTTCTTTCAATCTCGTTGCCCTCTTTCTGCCCGTTTCGCCGATGTAGGTCGCGTCACAGTCCCCGCACTGCACTTTGTATACGACCCCCCTCTGACCGTCTGCAGAGGTGCGGTCCTTCGGTTTCGGGAACACATTCGCTAAGGTATAATGTGGTTTAAAAACAGTTTGTACGCTCAGCGGGCGCAAAGCTCTCCGAACAGCATCTGACACGCCCTGGACATAGGGAATAGATACAATAGACGTTGCCCGCACTCGTGACTCACTCCCCCTTCCCCTCTGCATTCGCCTCTGCGTATCGTTAATAAACGTCCTCGGAAAATGGCGCCGCTCTAACGTACCAACCACATTTTCAACCTCTTGCAACCATAGCTGCTTGTTAGAGCACACTGCATCACAACGTGATAAAAAGGTTCTTACAACGGACCGTTTGTGTTTGGTCGGGTGATGCGAGTCAAAGGACAAAAAATTTCCGGTGTCACACTGCTTACGGTACACCGTCGTTTCCACACTGCCATTACTGGCCCGGCGTACCAACACATCCAAAAAAGGCAACACATTATCTGTCTCTGTTTCGTACGTGAACTGAATGGCGTGGTGTACGCTGTTTAGCGCCACGTGGAAAGCATCTAGGTTAATCCTTTTCAAAATTACAAAAGTGTCATCTACGTACCTACAGTACATTTTCACCGGAAAGGGTACTGAGTTTAGCACCCGTGTTTCGACGTGCTCCATCATTAAGTTTGCTACGGTAACAGAAATAGGACTTCCCATAGGGCACCCTTCGATTTGATGGTAAATCGTGTTGGCGAAACTGAAGTATGTTTGATTCAGGCAAAACAGCAACAAAATTATAATATCCTCCACAAGTAAGGACGTACGAATCTCCAAATTACAATCTTCTTTCAAACGCGTCTCTACATAATCGATAGCCAGGCCAATGGGGACATTTGTAAACAATGAGATAACATCAAAAGACACCATCACATCGTCATCATCAAGCTGCTGCGTACGGACTTCGGTTACAAAATCACGAGAGTTTCTAACCGACCTAGAGTTGTCCTCAGTTAACGGCCTCAGCACTTCAACCAAGAACTTCGACAGGTTGTAAGTTGGTGAACCTACAAAAGACACGATAGGACGGAGAGGGCAGCCCTCTTTATGCACCTTAGGTAGCCCGTAGATGGTTGGAGTGGCTCCGTCCGAAGAAAACAGTCGGCGGTACAACGTTTGATCCAAACGCCCTTTGTTACAAAGGTCGGGGCAAAGAAAATTTGTCGAGTCCTGGTTCATTCGCCGTGACTCATCGGTGTGCAACACCAACCGTGGCCCCCTGCCGGACGTTTACGGGGACGTGTGTGATAAGTAGACTGGTCGACCTCACCTCATTTGTGTCAGTGTATACTGAAGATGCCACCTGCATAGGTGGCGAAACGTCTGTACCTTTTGTTATTAATTTGTTATGTTAAGTCGGAGTAAACCTTTTCAATCATGAATTCACCCGGCTTTTGGAACATTTTTGCATCCAGAACACATTCAGAACAGCATAAGTTCAGCTCATACATCCACTTACTGTAGGAGATGACTAATTTCTGCAGGCACTTGGTTGGTCTTGAGAGGGAAAGGATCACTCATTATGCTGACTTCCACCTTTGGGTTCCAGTGAGTCTGTGGGACCTTTGCTCTAGCTGGCTTTTGCTTGACCTATAGACAAACAAAAGAAACACAGTTCAGGCCCTGGGTATGTCATGCCAGTATATTAAGGAACAAGTGAAAATTGTTCCATAATATAGAGTGTATCTTTGTTAAGTAGCAATCTCACACAAGAGCAGACAACATTTTCGTGAGAATGTTATCTCTGCCTGTCACCTGCTCGTTTGCACTGATGTCACATCAGCGGCCAATCTATCTTTGTTAAGTAGCAATCTCACACAAGAGCAGAAAACATTTTCGTGAGAATGTTATCCCTGCCTGTCACCTGCTCGTTTGCACTGATGTCACATCAGCGGCCAATCTATCTTTGTTAAGTAGCAATCTCACACAAGAGCAGACAACATTTTCGTGAGAATGTTATCTCTGCCTGTCACCTGCTCGTTTGCACTGATGTCACATCAGCGGCCAATCTATCTTTGTTAAGTAGCAATCTCAAACAAGAGCAGACAACATTTTTGTGAGAATTTTATCCCTGCCTGTCACCTGCTCGTTTGCACTGATGTCACATCAGCGGCCAATCTATCTTTGTTAAATAGCAATCTCACACAAGAGCAGAAAACATTTTCATGAGAATGTTATCCCTGCACGTCACCTGCTCGTTTGCACCGATGTCACATCAGCGGCCAATCTATCTTTGTTAAGTAGCAATCTCACACAAGAGCAGACAACATTTTCGTGAGAATGTTATCCCTGCCTGTCACCTGCTCGTTTGCACTGATGTCACATCAGCGGCCAATCTATCTTTGTTAAATAAGCAATCTCACACAAGAGCAGAAAACATTTTCGTGAGAATGTTATCCCTGCCTGTCACCTGCTCGTTTGCACTGATGTCACATCAGCGGCCAATCTATCTTTGTTAAGTAGCAATCTCACACAAGAGCAGAAAACATTTTTGTGAGAATGTTATCCCTGCCTGTCACCTGCTCGTTTGCACTGATGTCACATCAGCGGCCAATCTGAAGGATCTTGCTGCTCCGCCCAAACCTTCTGCAGCACATTCCACACCACCGAATTTGTTCTTCTCGGCAAGAACAAGTAAGAATGATCACTGTTATGGTGCAATGACATCACATGCAAGCCATGTATACACATGTTCTGCATTTAAAGAGAAGCTGAAGAGGTTCTTGAAATAAAAATTGAAAACGACCATACAAAGTGTGCTGCGATTGACAGCAGTAGCTGCTGCATTGTGGAAAGGCGTGTTGAAGGAGATTTGCCTTTAGCCAGTGTACTGTACAATGTTTGCAATGGGTTCTTTACTTTTAGTGGAATTGATGTAGGAGACATGTGTGAAAAGATGCGTGCTTTGGTGGAACGATTGTGCGAGATGTTGCATGTCTTGGAGAAGGACACAGAGACATGCTTTTCTTTTGGCTGAAACACTCTTCCGGAACGGGGGCGCCCGCGCCTGCGATGGAAGAAGTGAAAGTATGTACGCGAGCAGTTCTGTAGAGGTACAAAGGGCACAAAAGAATGGAACGTGGGCGACGGCAGTGGGGAGGCGAGGGAGCATGTCCGCATAGTGCGACCACATGGGTATTTCGCAACGGTTTCCGCCGAAGGGGTGGGGGGGGGAGCGAGAGAGAGCCTTGCCGTGTGTGAGGAATGACGGGGAGAGAAAGAGCGGTGCCTCAGCTGTAGAGTGGGGTTTTGCCCCACTCTACATGATATCAAAAGCTTTCAACTGCTCAGTGCATATCACTGGTGCAATCAAGCGTGTGGAAGTGCAAGTCTGCTAAAGTTACCTTCACATGCATGCTACTGCTTGGAGCACCAGTTGGGATGTCACGCTTGCAAATGTGTATACTTGACGACTGTTTCTGTGACATTTATGAAGTGAAAATAGTGCATAGGTTGATAATGTTCCAAGTTGCACGAGTGCCTGTGCACTTTGCTACACACAAGGACGACATTGTGAAGCCATCAGAATGAAACTTAGGCATGGCTGTAAAACTATTAGACAGCCATAGAGTATGGCTAAAACAGAAGCAAAGACAAGCTAACTACTCTAACAAATAAGCAAGTTAACACCTGGAGAAAAAAGGCAAACCACAAACAAACCATTGATAATTTGGGAAAGGCTTGCGAAAAGTGCAGAAATGTCTAGATCTTGATATTGCGTCACATTCCCTCTCAAATTTTTAACTCACACTGACCGTGCTGGGAATGAAAGGTTTCAACGTTTCTTCGGAAGTGCTTTCTAGGCAACTCAGTGCAATAAGCTTTCAAAAAAATTTTGATATTCATAATCCTCGAGGTTTTCCTTTAAAAGGAAACTGAAGCGGTTCTGTATTTGAGTAAAAATACTGAAATCGTCCTCATTTGGCGTCCAGAATCACGAATATCGAGATTATTTTTTAAGTTGGTGCATGAAGGCTGCAGAAAACCATTTTCAAAGTGCCGCTAAAGCCCCTCTTTCCCACAGCGTGAAGTCATAAAAGGAGTTTTCGGAACCTCTGCTCTCGCGCATCTTCAGCAGCTATCAAAGCTACGCAAGTGCACTCTTGCTATTTTGCTATGCTGTTGCCCCCCGTCGGAAGCCTGGATCGGAATGCATTGGTATAAAAATAAGGAAGGAAGAATGAATCATGATGTCTACAACCCAAAACTGTGGCGATAAAAAATAAAAAAAAATAAAGAAACCTTGAAGTTGAAGAAAAAGGGACTGGGTGAGAGATAAGCTGCGAATAAGCCACAGTGTTTACAAAGGTAACGGTGGGGGAACTCAGTCACTCACAGGCCACTGCATCTAAGGAAGCAGGATTTAATTCCCTTTCTGAGAAGGACACAAAATCACATCTTTTCACAACGTCTGTATGGTGCTGCCCATGCGCAGAGCATGCTTTACAAAATCTTAGATATCTCCATGATAAAAAAAAAAAAAAAAACGAAAAAAAACTTCACGAAATTAAGCATTTAAAAACTAAGAACTGCTTCCAGTCGTATTTAGCAACATTGCTTCCCCCCCAACCCCCCACCCCTAAAAAAAAAAATTAAAGAAGTTTACGAATCTCGGTAATGCCAAACTAGAGGGCAGCTCTTGAGGAGGAGGAGGGGAAGGTACAGAGGGAAGGGTATGCCCCTCCTCCTCCTCTTCCTTTCCTGCTCCTCTCCTCCTGCCGCTGAATTTGTTCAAGGGTGACATGACACGAAGTCATGACGTCATTTTCCAACTAAATTTAGCTGGGAAACTAAATCGGTGTTGAGGTCCCGTAACATCAATTTCTCCGCTATATTCAGTGGTGAAACTTAACCCACTAAATTTCCCACTAACTTTAGCTGGGAAACGTCCTATAATGCAACGCACGCAGTTACGTTGACGGCGATGCTGCTCAACCCGGAAACGGGCGCCGAAGAGCTGCGCTCTAAAAAAGACCCTCCAAGGGGAACATAAAAAGAAATATCAGTGAAGGGCACCCTGACTAAACACCTGCACTGACGTCAACGGCCTTGTAACTCACGGACTCAAGGCCACTTGTCAATCATGTTGGGGTTGCTTTTTTGTAACCTAACCCCCTTTTTTTTATAGTTAAGAGTCTATGGCTTAGCCGCCATGGGCTTAGCGGAGCAGGGGATGAGGGAGTAGAGAGGGGGGCAGGAGGGGTGGAGGAAACAGTAGAAAAATGGAGAGGAGGAAGCGAGAGAGAAAAAGTGGAAAGTGCAAACTGGTCACCAGCATTTAAGTAGATTTACATGCATCACGAACACTGAAAACTATACGAGTAGATATGGCCTGTCATGCACAATGCTAAACACAGCACAATCTCAATATTTATTTGATAGCTATATTAGAGGTCTGCATGGGCCAAAATTTAAGAGCACGGCTCAGCCCAACCTGCTGTTTCTTGGGCCCGGGCCTGCCCGTGGCCCGCTATTTAGATCCGATGGCCGGCCTGGCCCAGCCGGACACTAATTTCCACGGGCCCGCTGAGGTCCGCTCTATCTTTACCCAGTATGAAGCTGAGCTCACAAGTTGCCCGGCATGGCAAGCCCGCTTGCCACTGCTACACATGTTGACTATGGTACGCTAAAATCAATGCAGCAAAAAATATTATTTTTTTCTTGCTATTACGAGTTGAACCATTCTATAGCCCGACAAGCTGCTCACAAACAACTCCGAGTTTGCCCACACCAGGTGTGGGCACTGCGTGTGCGCACAAAGCAAACTCGAGTGAAGTGAAGCATGTGACCACGCACTGCGTCGACAGCAGCGCCACCGCATCGGCGTGATATCAGACCCGCATGTTGGTCTGCATGTCCAGGCAGTGCGTTAAGAGAAAAAGGTCACCCCCATTGTCATTTCTTTCAACTAAACCCGCATATTGAAAAGGATAAAAAAATAAAAATGTTGAGCAACAGTAAACAAAACCATGTGCAAAAGTTCAAAAGGAAGGGAAGTGTCGCAACAGGTTCTGACAAAAGACAAAGTTCTAAATACGCTCCTTGCGCGCTGCTATAGCGCCACCGTCTCTCACGCCATCGGCACCTCATGTGGTCGGTTTAAGAACTAATGGTAAGTTCCCATGCGGAAGTGGTGGTTTACAGGAGTGCAGGAGTGACCATGCAGCACACTTTTGCAACTCAACAGAATAAATGACACTCTAATATATCTTAAAGCAAAGCGTTATAGGCTAGGAAAGCAGCTTTATGCTGGCAATCACCCGTTTTTTTGTGGAATAAAGGATGATTTACACCGCAACAACCAGCAGGTTGGAGAAGTCGTGAAGAAATGATTCGCACAGGTCATTCTACGATGACCGTTTGCATTTTTTATTCCTCTTTTAAGTGTGACGTTTTACCCCGGAAGTTTTTTTTTAAGCCGCCTTGGCCTAGTAGGTAGTTCAGTTTTCTACCCTTTCTCCCATTTCGCAGCAACTTACGCAACAAAGATTATGTTTCTGCAGACTTCCCTATCTCGTTTGGGTGAGCGATGTGGGACAGCTGAAATGATCTACGGAAACTTTCTAACCTGGGGAAAAATCGCACTCACAAAGTCAAGGTCCATGACTGGCACAACGCGGGATCGAGCTGGTGATTTTGTCAACACTTGCGCCCCGAGCCTAGGTAAGAGAATCATTGTGGCCGCCGTCGATGAGCCAAATATAATCAATGAGTTTTTTATTTCTGCTTCATGCTTCTTGATTTGTGTAACGAATGTTACACAAATCAAGTAACACAAACAAATGTAAACAAGGCAAAAAGTGTGTTTAGAATTTATTCCTAAAGAAAAAGGTGCAGACGTCTTAGCCGGCAAAAAAAGAATGTGGATATGCACTTCACATGTTTCGGGGGTTCCAAAACAAATTTGAAGGACTAATATTTTTTAGCATAAAGTGACACAGCTGCGTTAACCGTCACACCCTCAGCTTGCCCTTATATATATATATATATATTTTTTTTTTTTTATCTTTAGAAAAACTGTGATTTAAGCAGGGTGGCAAGGCCCACTTCATTCCCCATAAAGTAGGCACTTCAGGTCTTTCAGCTTCTTCAAACATAGACTGCCACTAGGGCTCCGCACCAAAATGGTGGCGGTGCCAGCTACAAACAAATCTGCATCGTGGGGTGCAGGTAAAAATAAAACAGATGACACGAACAGAGCTCACATGGCGGGTCACACTGTGGAACCGCCACGATTCATTGCTGTCGACGCTCTGCCAGCTCCACTTCCTATGTCTTGTACGGAAATCACTAGAATTTCACTAAGGATAGTTTCTCAACTTCATTAATTCAGCCGTCGAGGCAGTCGTGCATGCAACGAAAAAATCAGCGGTTACTTTTTTGCTTGCAATGCTGCGGACAACATAACGAGGCTTGGGAAACACTGGCTCGCCCGTGGAAATGGGACGCCAGGAGCGTACCAATAGTTTTTATTTTAACCACCAGATGGCGCCACAGATTTTTTTTTTTTTTTTATGCACAAGTGCCCGGATTTATTGCCCGCTCCCGCGCAATAAGCTTTGAGGGAAGCGGATTCTCTTCACCCACTTCGTGGGTGCATGCACTCGTACATAAAGATGGCTTGCGCCTGCGAGGGTGTGCATTGGGCAGGCACGTATGTGTGCATGCATGATGGGGAGAAGCGACTGTACGACGGTGATGCCACCAGCGAGGTCAGAGACGAAAATGAATGAAGTGCTGCAAGTGCTCTGGAAGAGCAGTCTGCACATAGTGTGCAATGTAAAAAAAAAAAAGAAAAAAAAAATCATACATGCTTTTAGCATTTCAGTCTCCCACTCTCGTGTCTCTCCCAATCCCACCAAACAAACTTCAAAAACATTTGTGCAAAAAACATTTTTTTTTATTTTTTTTTTTTTAAGTTGCAGTTGGTTTGGTTTGTTTAGGCCTGCTGTGTAGATTCAAATGCAAGGCCCGTACCCGGCCCCTTCATAATTACCGGGAAGCCTGTTGGCCCGTGAGCTGGCCCGTACCCATGCAGACCTATAAGCTATATTGCCCAGTCGGCGATGTTGGTGAGCCGTCTCAATGGCACAACAGAAAAAAAATATACAATTGCAGCGGAGAAATTTATATACCACGAGGTGCTAACGAGACACCAGTTTTTCTCTAAGTGACAGCTCGGCATCTGCTGCCATTTCAAAAGACCTTCGGATTGATCGTGAAAATACAGCACTGAATGCCTCACCTCTGGCTTGGCCGTTGCAGAGCCAATGAGACTGATTTCTTCATCTTGAGGCACGAGGTGTCGAGTGAGGCTGCCTGCACCCAGACTGGTGCTCGAGTGTCCCAACAGTTGTTCTACTGTTCGGACTGGCTCATGCTCCTTGCGCTCCAAAAGCAGCACATAAGCGTGCAGCGTGCCATTCCTTAGAGTCTTTTGTGGCAATGTGACATTCAGCTGCCTGGTGAGAAGTATGAACTTTTTATGAACTTATGTTATGAACTTCACTGTGGTTGGCTACTTCATGCTCAGAGTGTCTACCACAGCTATTGTTATAAATTCCCTCACTCCTCCAAGTTTTCCCTGTCTACCGCAGTTTCTTGACTAATTCATCCTACAAAAAAATCCTATAACCATCAGTGAGGAGGACAGTAGTGCACAATGGCAGAATGTAACCTTCTATGAGCTTTTATTTGTATTTGTCTAAGAGTCTATGAATAAGATGCTTGTATTGTTCTTTGTACCAATACATGAAAGGATATGTGCAAGTGTTCCTACTTCCAAAATTTCCCCGACTCGTGCAACGTCTCAACCAAACACTGACCATGTGCCAACTTTTCGAGGCTGACTGAATATCTACCCTGAATTCCAGGTTTTCCTCGGATGGAAGAGACACTGGTGCTAGATGCTCAGCTCTGCTAATTATGATGATCCCTTAGCTTGAGAAGCCCATAAGTGCAGACACTATTATTTACCTAGCATAATGGGCCACCACATTATAACCTATTGGTTGTTCTGGGGCACGAATCAAATAAAGCAGCATTATTATTATTATTATTATTATTATTATTATTATACATGCACAACTCTTGGCTAAACACATTAAAAAGTGATATCATCATCAAAGTGTAGTGACAGCGAGGCAACTTTATGTGCCATGCCACTACTACTTTTTATTTGATGCCATGGGTTGCAGGAATTTAGTAACCGATACCGATTAGCTTCTTTTCCAGCAACATTTAAGAACTGTTCATCAAGTCCCCCTGAACATTACATTTCTGCCTATCACAGATCATCTTGTTCTCAGGAGCTCATGCAAAAGAGGTTTTTTCACTCTCCCATTGATGAGGAGCTTGAAAGCAAAGGATATTTTCAGTAAAGCTGAACAAACATTTGACAGGCAATGAATTGGCAGACACCAAACAGCCTTTATTTCCAATTTTCCTCTCTCAATTCTATATTTTACTAAGTAGGAGTAATAAAGAAAGGCAGCGCTAGGTTTAAGCGACATTTAGCGCCTTGTTTCCAGCTCCAACATTGAAAGCAACATACCTTTCACTGGTTTTGAAGATGTCAAACTCATTTTCGGACCATATCACAGTGAGATCGTTCACACTTCTGATTTTAGTTGAAGAAGAAGTGCAAAAGAAGAACTGTAACAGACGAAAGCGCATTCCGGAGAATCACTCATTTTTGTACACGATCGAACCTACGTTGACGCGAATTTCCAAAGCTGCAAAGGAAAAGCTCTGTTCTCACCTGGAATCTTGATTCCGCAGTCCAGGTTGGTCGAATACAGGCTTCATTTTTCCCGCAGCGTTTTGGATAATATAAAGTGTAGAGGGTCCACATAGAGTGCAAAATGTAGGCGAGAAAAACTCCACTCAACGCTAACGTGAATGAAAACTTCATGTTGCTACCCTTTTTCTTGTTTCCCTGTTGAATGTGAAAGCAAAGATCGGATAAAATGATCGTTAAAACAATAATAATAATACAAAAAGTACATGGTTGCGAAGTTCTTGCCATCCAGGGAACGATGACGTTCGTAAGGAATGTTAAGAAACTTGGCCAATCAATCGTTTATAAAAACCAGCCATCGAAACATGGGCTTAACCACTCGGGCCGGCATTCTAGACGAAACAGCAAGTTCTCAGACGTTACCGGCTGTTAAGAATGGAACCTTCGGCGACCTTCTTCCGCGTTTCAACGCTGCGGAAACGAGTCAAGACGAGTCCGGGACCGTCGCCCGCTTGTCGGGGCCTGCGCGAAACGAGTCCCGACGAGTCTGGGACCGTCGCCTGCGTGACGGGGCCTGCGGCAACAAGTCTCAACGCGCCCGTGACGTTAGCGGGACGTGTGTGTGTGCGTGGTGGTTGGTGCGCTCGGGAAAGGGAGAGAGGCATGGCCTAACTGCGGAGAACTTTGGCTACGTCGCACTGGACGGCGGACTTTGCTGCGTCGCACTTGACGGCGGGTTGCTGCATCGCACTGGCTGCCCTGGCGGGGAGTGAGGGAGAAACGGACCCTATATAAGGCGGAGCGCGAGGCTGCTCCGTTGTTCTCTCGGATTTGACGACTGTATCGCTACCATGTAATTAAACCCTTCGTTACGTTACCAAGTCTCCCACCTCCACTGAACCCCTGGGTTCTTCACTTCGGGGAATGGACGTCGTCTCGAGCCAGGAAGCTTCCGGACGTGCGGCCTAAACCCCGCCTCGAACAACTGGTGGCAGCGGTGTGGCGTGGTGTTGTGGGGGACGTTTCCGCTGATGCCTCCGTTGTGAGAGGTTTGGGAGTTTGCTAGTGCTTGCAGCATCTTCTCAAGGCCTACTCCAAGCCCACCTCTTCAGGCCAGCGATAGTACCACCGGCCATTCGAGGTTTCCCTGGCCCCGGAGGGGCTGTTAAGAATGGAACCTTCGGCGACCTTCTTCCGCGTTTCAACGCTGCGGAAACGAGTCAAGACGAGTCCGGGACCGTCGCCCGCTTGTCGGGGCCTGCGCGAAACGAGTCCCGACGAGTCTGGGACCGTCGCCTGCGTGACGGGGCCTGCGGCAACAAGTCTCAACGCGCCCGTGACGTTAGCGGGACGTGTGTGTGTGCGTGGTGGTTGGTGCGCTCGGGAAAGGGAGAGAGGCATGGCCTAACTGCGGAGAACTTTGGCTACGTCGCACTGGACGGCGGACTTTGCTGCGTCGCACTTGACGGCGGGTTGCTGCATCGCACTGGCTGCCCTGGCGGGGAGTGAGGGAGAAACGGACCCTATATAAGGCGGAGCGCGAGGCTGCTCCGTTGTTCTCTCGGATTTGACGACTGTATCGCTACCATGTAATTAAACCCTTCGTTACGTTACCAAGTCTCCCACCTCCACTGAACCCCTGGGTTCTTCACTTCGGGGAATGGACGTCGTCTCGAGCCAGGAAGCTTCCGGACGTGCGGCCTAAACCCCGCCTCGAACACGGTGCTCTCATAGCTCCCATACGAGCACATGGGTAAAGTATGACACGTAATGAAGCTTACCCCTGCAGATGAATCAGGTGAATGTAGTTCTAACCTCCTTGGGTGAATCCGCGGTCTTAGTTTTGCCTCCATTCCATATTGCGTGCACACGTTCGAACACAACAGAAGACAAGTGCCAGGAGGCCCAGATGACTGGCGGCTGGCCGAGAATCCGAAATGAGCGATACAGGTCAACAGGAAATTTCCGTTATGGGAACCATATTACCTTGGTAAAAATTATAAACTGCCTCTTAAATTTGATATTCCGCTGTCACGCATTGTCTTAATAAGATCCGATATTAATTTGCATTCCTAAATGTGGCAGCAGCTGCGTTGATCGCATCACCCGGATCACCATCAACATAAGCGCACAAAAAAAAAAAAAAAAAAGAACGCAATTTTGCCGTAGGCAGGTTCGCCATATTGGTCGTGTCCATCGCAAAGCGCGTGTGGAGTTTGAAGTTATTACTGCAAGTCTCGATTCCTACGTGAAGCAAGAATCAGCGAAGATGTCGTACAAAGGAGGACCAGGCCAAAAAGTTCAGAAGGTTATGGTGCAACCCATTGTATCCTTTTTGGTCGCGATTTACTTGCACGTTTGTATGCTCGCGCGGCGCGAAGACCGGTCAAGTCATTGTTTTTCGACGTTGAGCGCTGATCGCATTTTGACTTAATTGTTAATTTCGCCTGAACGATGCATTCGTCTGATGACACCTACATCGCTAGGTCTTGTTGCCGGTTATGTCTGATTTTCTGTAATTATATATTCAGTAATTCACCGGCGTTTTTCACGTAGCGTCCGCCGGCACTCGCCGGCCTTCGCTTGCGTGATGGCTGTTTCGCAAGCGGTTTTTCACAAATGATCCTTGACAGTTTGCTCCAGAACCTGATTTTCAGATATCTACAGAACGTGAGTACTTAACGTTTCTTGTCTTCAGCTCTATAGCGTGCTCTATCTATAAACTCAAACCTATTTTTTTTTTCTTTCCCATCCTTTAGAGGGCTCGGATTCAGGTTTGGCTTTACGAGAACGTCATCCTTCGAATTGAAGGCCATATTATTGTGAGTTCAGCATAGCATCTGAAGTATACCCTGTTATTGTCGACGGGTCAACAATACCATTCATTGAATCTATTTATCTATTTCATAGGGCTTCGACGAGTACATGAACTTGGTTTTGGACGACGCTGAGGAAATCTACACAAAGACTAAGCAGCGGAAGCAAGTTGGTAAGATGAGCCATTTTATATAGGAACAGTATGCTTCACCAATAATTTTTTGTGCCATGCTGGTGGTTTATTTGCCAAGAGCAAATGCTCCACAGCTTTAGTTTTACACCACAGAATGGACCTTTTCCACATACCGACGGCACCAGGCGGTGGCTGCACGAACTAAAAATCGAGGAAGTGACCTACCTGCGCTACCAATCGATACCGGGAGCTACGTTACCAGTTTCTTCGCTCTCCGAGCTGCGTAACGTGCCCAACGCAAGCTTAAAGATGGGCATCCGTAGCGTTCCACCCAATCGTTGTGCTTTTCCTTCTGTCCACTTTCTTTTTTTGTGTAACCCAATTATATATATGCTGCAATTACCTGTTCTACTCGCTTATCCACAGGCTCATTCCGAATTTCCTCGATTTTTCGTTCCGACTTCCGCCGCCTGGCATCGGGCGCTCGCGCGTGCGCAGAACGCTTCTCGGAAAAGGTCCATTGGTACTTCGAAGCAGACAATAGTTAGGGATAATCACCTTCGCTGCGAAATTATACCATGTTCATTTCATGCGTCGGAAGTGACTGGGGTAATGGTAAATGCCCTCATTGACTGTTGGCCATTGCCTCAGCAGACGAAGCTCACTGACTTTGCTTTACTTAGTCATCAGTGCCTGAAGTGTGGGATATGTAGCAGTGTTTCTTGTGATAGGTGGCTTAAGAACCCAGAGCAGCTCCCAACGACACTCCGACAAATGTTTCCAAGTGGGGACACACTCGCCCCAACTGAGGCCGTGGGAAAGTGATTGTATGCACTAGCATAGATATGCCAGCAGTAGAACGTAGCTTTCCCTGTCGTCTTATTCCGAAGCAAGTAAAGCTACTTAAAAAGTGATCTCCACTTGAAAAGTACTAATTCCACTTCTAGACCAGTGCATCCATTTGCAATTTTAATTGAGCATTAGTTAAAGGGATACTTGAACCGCATTTGGATTTCGCAAAATAAGGCCTCAGAAGCATTGAATACAAACTCCAAAACATCGCTCACACATCGATATCTCAAACGGGTGGCCATACTTTTGCAACAGAAGGGTGCAATCAAGCGAGGGCAATGATGTCATTGTCCCCCAGGAAAATTTGAAACTAAGGGGAAGCAACCTCCCTTCTTTCTCCTCGCTTTGGTTCGCCAGCACGACCGGACGTAGCGAGGATGAGAGGGAATAAGAATCGTGACTTTTCTTGTCGGCCGTGTTCAGTCGCACACTTATTTTCCAAAAATACGGCGATGCGTTAGATATATCGCTGTATGAGTGATGTTTTTGGGTTTTGCAGCGTCCCGCCTATCCATCCAGCCTTGTTTTGCGAGCTCCTAATTTCAGTTCAGTATCTCTTTAAGTGTCTTTGTTTTACACATGTCTTTAGTTACTTCTGGTTTTCACTCATCCAGCTGGGTAGCTTGTTGCCAAAAAACCTTCCGGTCTCAGGACAAATGTGCTGTTGGTAGTAGGATATGACTCCTTTTGTCAGGTTGTTTTCGGTATTGCTGTGCATAGGAAAATTCGGCTCAAACGCCGAGTGCCCTGCTTCGGGATGCGAATAACTGTAAACCAACTCTCAAGGAATTTGTTTTGTTTTCTGCGGGATGAGCATCACCCTCGTGGCTGTCATGAATGGAGGGCGATACGAGCATGTCTCATTGACGGAACGTAGCTATGTTGATGAAGAGTCATTGGACAAGGGGAATGAAATGTGCATCAGTGAGTTTTTCATCAATGAAATGGGACGCCGAGCCTGGCAGACAAAGGAGTCTTTATTAGCACATCAAAGGTGTTGACTTCTTTACTTAACATACGAAGTTGTCAATGAAGGACAGTCTTGTACCGTCTTTATTTTTGAGTCTATTTATGTGGTAACATACACACTTCATAATGATGGTCAATGGTGAATTGTGGCAATAAATAGTTTAAATGGGCCCTCCGGAGCTTTCTGCGATCGTCTGTTTATGTTGTTATATTGCGTAGTAGGTGCAAGTTAATATGTATACAAAGTTTTAGATTACGAAACCATTTATTAAGCAGATGGCAGAAGAAATATATCGGGACTATTTTCTCTTGGAAGACAATCCCCCATTCTCTGCCCATCGCTAAAACTTGACCAATGGAAATGCTGCATCTCGCGGTGAATGCGAACGTTATTGTTGCAACACTTTTTAAGCTTGTTATAAATTAGAGTTTGAGAAAAACGTAAACTGATTGTGGTGCGGGAAACATAGTCCGCAATTATCGCTCCAAAACCAGCGAACTATGTTTTCTCCCCGCAAGCTTGTTGCTAGGGGGTGATGCGTCGGCTCGTCTGGTTCCCGGGGCGTCTGCAGGCGTGCGTTTGCGGGACACGTGTTCCTTCTTCCCGTGGATCCCGACTCCGAAGCCAGCTTTGCGATCCTTCCACGTCACCGAGTCAAACTTTTCCTTGTCATCTGTGGATTGCGACTGCGTATTGCAGTAGCAGCGCGACGGTGCGGTGCGACGAATGACGACTGCCGAGCACAGAGTCCGGGCTCCTCGACAACGGTCGGCCGCGTTCGTGACGCCGGAATCCTTCGCTTGCTATTGGCTGATGCGTAAAGAGATGCCCCTCCCGTTTTCCGGGGTCATCTCAGAAAGGGGGGGCGTGCCGGGGACTTTGATAGCAATTTTAGTAGGGAAATCCGCCGCGCATGACCGTAATTTCATGATTTTTAGGATCGGTAGGGCCTGTAGATTGAATTACCGCCATAAATAGACCATCGCAGAACGCTCCGGAGGGCCCCTTTAAATGTAGCCTACCCTGCAATGCACGCCCAGTGCCTGGAAAGCATGGGGCCAGTCTGTTCTGCAAAAATCAATGCACTGTACGTCTATTTTTTTTTGTCCCGTCGTTTACGCGACCTATAGTGGGTGGTGTGTTGACCCTTTGCGGTCAGATACTCTGACCAACTTAATGGTCATTCCGGTCAGGAACTATTTTGTACACATGGGCCCCGGAAAAGTAAAATTATTTCGGCGTACAAAGGTAACGTCTCGCACTGAGTGTAAGGACAGGAAAGTCTGGGAGATTGTTTGTATACAAACTCCGAAACAATGTTTGTGGTGGAGCGGCTCCGCGGCCGCTGTCTTGCGCAGTCTTTTCATATTCATCATTGCTTTCACTCGAGTCACACAGGTCGCCTCTCCATCATCTGATGGAGGGATATAGTCGTCCTCTTCACTGAAATCGTCGTCACTTTCAATTGCATCATGCGGAGTTACATAAAACGAGCATGGCTGAAATTTGCACGCTCCTCTGTTGTGCAAAAAAAACATGACATAAACCATGTCTTTTTTTTTTTCTTTATGACTAGTCCTGCCCTCTATGAGAAGAAACTCGAACCTTTTCAAGAGTGATGTGATCGAAGTGTTTCCAAGAGATGGTGCCACCAATCCAGCAAAAAGAGCAAAGGAGCATGTTTAAAAGGACGTGGGAACGCGTGTCACGATGGAGGTGCAGCATCTACCAGATTCTGAGGCTGTCGCCAACTGTGGGAGCATTTGCTCACTTGGCACGTTTCTCGGCTGGCCCTCCTAAATTGATACAATAGCATTTGATTATGTTACGTCGAGATACAGCTGCGAGTTATTGGGTCATCTGCGCCTCGTATGAAACGCGGATAAAGGCCCATTTACATAGTTGTGAGGACTATAGCGTTGTGAGGACTATCATCAAGCTACAATCGTAAGTCACTGGGATGTCTGAGCTCCGTACAAAGCACGGGCACAACAACTAAATCAAAGCAGCCACGCTCATGATGTACGAAGCATGCACGTTTCGGCAACTCGCAATTGTAACATTGGGTGCAACTGCATGGTTGGCCTTTACTCGCGGTCATCTCTCGGCGTAACTCCCGCTACGCCGTCTTGGGCCGGTCACTTAGGGGTACACACATGGCCCTTCCTTAAATATTTGCGTATCAGGCTCAATCATTCAGAAGTGGACTCCAATGATATGTGCTAGTCATTGTGCGGGCCTTGTACGAAAACACACATTCCAACTGTGCTGGAAGTTGGTTTCGCAACAAGAAGCTATCATTTTGTTTGTTCTTGTTTGCCTTGAAAATTACCTTTTGTGTAAGTATTCTGTTTTTCATGCTCTTATTTTTTGCTCTCTTGGGTTTAAACTTCGTCATGGTAATGTTATGTTTTTGGGGATCAAGGATTGGACTGGCCCAAGCACACAAATGGATGCTTCTCTCTTCATTTTTCTAAGCCGCAGATAGATGCCTGCTATTGTCGTAAAGAATCGGGACATACCATTGTGAGCAGTATGAGAGGAATGCCAGAGTCTGTGTCGCTTTGCATGTGGCCATGCCTCCTCAAAGCACGGTGCAGGCGCAAAAAACCTTGGCTATTGTTTGGCACTTGGAACCCCTGCATCTCGCGCCTGTCGTCGACTACAATGGCGAAGACCTGTTTTGTTGAAGCGCGCTGGGTAGATGTTATGTGTGGCAGGAATCCACAGCAGTCTCACTGCCTATAAGACATTTCGGTGCAGGCTTATCTGGCATCTGGAATTCAATTTTGTTGATGTTTTGGAATAGCTGATATACAGGGTGCATGAGGTATTTGCAACACAACTTCAGGGTGCATAACTTCTCATACTCTTAATACAACTGCCTAGACGCTTGACTCTGTCTTCAACTGCATCTATGTCATTTCGTGTATAAATTTCAAAATGGCAGCTTTTGGTCATACACAAGAAATGAAAAGGCATGCCGTCCTGGTTGTCTTGGCCGCCTACCACAGTGATTTGGATATAGCCATCTTCTTGAATGCGTCACGGTCTCGTTTTCAAGGTCAGGAAATGGCTTTTGGGTTAAAACACCCCCAGGAGTCGGACGTTGTCAGGACGCCCGAGTTTGTCTAGCTGGTGCAGGACATTGTGAAGGACGACTCCAGCAAGTCAATGAGGGCCATTGCCATGCATCTCGGGGTGGTAGAGTCTGTTATCAGGCTTGTGGTACATGAGGACCCTAGATACCAGTCGTATGTGATAAGGAGAGGTCACTTTATGTTTCAAAAAAGCAAGGAATGCAGTGTCTTCAGTCCAAGCACTTGTCAAACAAGCTCAAGCATCCTGAGGAACCGGACATGTTTTTGTTTTGTTTTTTCGACGAGAACTTTAACCGAGACCAAAACGTCGCCAGGAAGAATGATTGGTGGCTCTGTGCGAGCCCCGATGAGGCCCTATGGTCATACAGACAGTTTCCATAATCTGTGATGGTCCTAGCTGTTGTGAGCAACGAGGGTCACATCATGCCGCCACACTCCTTTCAACTGGGCCTTAGGGCCAACTTGAAGGCCTAGGTCTGGCACTGTAGTAAAACCTTTGATAGAAGGGGTGGCCCAGGGGAGGCTATACATTTGTGAACAGGACTTTGCTTCATGCCACACAGCCCACGCGATCCAGAATTAGCTAGCGTACAACTTCCATGGCCACGTTGCCCCCAGCAAGGGGCATCCGAACTCTCCAAATGTAAACCCCCTGGGCTGTTATGTCTGGCACGTCGTTGAGAAAGACCAACAAGCAGCCCCACGACGCCAAAGAGTCGTTACAAACTGCCATTGTGGATGCTTTGGCCAACGTCAACGATAACCACTTGATCAGGGCGTGCAGTCGTTTTCGAAGCCGCATTGAGTCAGTCATTGCTGCTGAAAGTCGTTTTATTGAAAGTTTGGGAGCACAAATAGAAAACAGTATCTGTACCAAATTCTGAGCAAACAGATTAACATTTCGTTGAAACCTCTTCTATTCCTTTTTTTTTTTCTGAAACCACCATTATATTTTCAAATACCTCGCGCACCCTGTATGATGCCTTACCAGGGCTGGAGTTGCAATGTCAAGAAAGACAGTCTAAGTCACTTTGAATCGTGCCTCTTGGCTTGGGAACGTCGATACAAATTTACTTACTGGCTGTCATTAAGAATTGTATGTGAAGACAAATCATGCAAAAAGGTGCACATATCGCACTATGTAGTTCCATCATTGTAAGGAGGGCATTTTATCCAGGAAACCCCTGGAAGCTCCTGAACATAAGAAACGGTGTTGCAGAATGGACGCCGCCATTCCATTCCAGCTCTATTTCAGGCAATTAAAGTTTCCGACATCCCCATTCCCACTCCTGGAATGAATGACTCTACCATTCCATTCCTCGAACTCCTAAATGTGAAAAGAAAAAAAGAAAAAGAAAAATCTTGACAGCTACTTTGGTTATCAGAAAAAGCAGCATAGGCTGACATTATCAAAAGCAGAGACGAACTGCAAAAGTATGCAAAATGTTTCCCCAAAGTACTCATTCTACTAAGCTGAGCGATAGACACACAAAGCACTTTGTGGCACTTGGTGTCACTGCCGACATCAATCACACGATCAAGCATAAAAGGCTCTCAACAGACGCTTCAACTTAAAACCAATTTCCTTTGCAAACAGAGTGTATACCCTCCACACATACATGTTCAGCGTAACGGTTTGTTTGATAAGGCCTAAAAAATTTGTAGTTCATGCGTGGCGCGAGAAGAAGCACTCGCTTTCTGCTTTGAGTACCTGCACAACAGCACCGCTAGTACGCTGCCAGAAGCGATGCCGCGTATGCCAGCCCCAAATCACCATGCACTGCAGTAAGCACAAAAAACCGCTGCCAAAGTGCAATCGTTGGGGGCTGCATGTAGGACCATATCACGATTCTTCATTTTCAATTCAATTCTTTATTTGTTTTGCTGTAAGCACTAGAAGGTCTGCTGGGTTAGAAGCTAGTACATGCTAATTGCGCATAACTACAACAGCCGCTTTGTCGCGTCTCGTGGTGCCAGGAACGACAACTTTTCAGTTTTGGTTGCTTTACTGGAGGTATGCAACTCTCATCCTCGAAAAAAAAAGCATGAGCCAGTATGACAATTGTGAAGCTGTTTCAAGAGCCACTTATACCGTGCGATAGCATTGCGCCATCATGCCGTATACATAGGGTAAACACCCGTCCCGCAACTCGCGGGACAATCCCACAATGAGGGCTCGTGTCCCGTATCCCGCAAGAAATACCGTCTTCAAAATGTCTCGCATTTCACACTGTCATAAAATTCACTACGCAACTCATGGTGCTCTCGAACAACGGGGCACGGGGAAGAGCTGAGGTCACTGGTGATTGTGTTAATCACAATGGTACGCCATTGTCTATCGGAGCACTGCGGGAAGTGACCGCTGTTCTCGCAGGAAGACCAACGCACATGCGCCGTCATGCCTCTCCCCTCGGTGGGAACATATTGCGAGTGAAAATTGCTCGCTAAAAGTTGAGAAGTAAAGAAGTGTAATTATTTGTGAATCATGCTGTGTCATGCAACAGGGTTGTTGTGGAAAGCTTTTTTTTCAGTGAAGACTGCCTCACAAGGTGAAAGCCTGCAACTCACAACGATCAATAAAAAAAAACAAATTTCTAATTTTGTTTAGGAGCATGTTAGTAAAAGTAAGCATCGACAGTAAACAATGAGCCGAAAAACTTTTCTTAGTGTTTCTTCTTACTTTTTGCAGCATTAGGGTCTGCTGCAGTTGATTTTGATTTTTTCAATTTAGGCACTTCTAATAAAATATTTAACGTCATAATTTTTCAAAAGATATGTCACTGGGAGTGAAAATTATTTGAGTTTAATTGCTGCAACACAATTTGCAGACAATATGTTGTCGGACAGCAAAGGAAACTAAATGTGTTAGCAGAGCCACATATCGTGTTGTGCGTGTTGATAAATTTCCTCTAATAGGTTTTTTCTTCAGTTTCAGTTGTCACAATACTGTCCTTATCATACCCCCCTCCCCCCCAAGGTCAGCGTGTCCTGCATTTCGCCCATTTCATTCCCATTCCATTCCGGGCAAAAGACTCTCGATTCCACTCCCGTTCCATTCCAGGGTAGCGAAAATGCGGAATCATTCCGGAATCATTCCAACTCTGGAGTGGCAACTCTGCAACACTTTTGAGAAATTGTTATGCAGTCTTAATACAATTAACGGCACAAACAAGAATTTATAAATTTATGAATTCTTTTCATAAGTCTTTGTACCTCATTTCTGTTCTAGATATTGAGTGACTTGCGAGGTATTAAAACTGCTATTGAGTTGACAAGTGCACCTGAAATTTTCCTTTTATAACGAGCAACATTTTTAAAACTTTTTCATCAGTTTTGATTGAAATGAAAATACTACTCATTTGAAGACATGGAATTCAAATGCAATTATACTGGTTGTATAATGCAAGGGAATAGTATCTTCGCAGTCCGTCTGCAAAAAAGAAACGTCGGCGTGGAATCTGTCGGGAGCAAGCGATTTCATCTATACTCGAGCTGCATTCAGATTGAATTTGAGATTGGCACTTTGGAGTTGATTCGTTCATTGTCACCATCGAATGTGTTTGAAAAAAAAACTGGATCATTCAGCATCAAGGTTCACTACTGCATTGCAATTGCTATTCAACCACCAGCAGAAATGCAGCTTCAGTGATTCCTTACCAGAGCAAACACAATTTGCATAGCAGACAACAGATCGGGTGTGGCAACCACAGCGCAGACAGCAGCAAACGCTTTTCGCACCTGCGCAGTGCTCCGAGGAGGTGCCACTGCGGCACTGCCAGTGAAGGAGCGGCATGTGCTCCAGCATTCTCTCTTATTGTTCACAATAGTAGCACTGATTCTTTACATCCCTTCTTTTTTTTTTTTATATTAAAATCTATGGGCTAGATTTGCCCCCTATTCAATGTAGATGAAGGCTTGTCGTACCGAAGTTTGTCAAAATGACCACCAAACGCTATATAATAACGAGTCAAGTTTAAGGAGTGTGCATAATTCTAATAAAAATATGGGCCGTAGAAGCTGGTATATCGGGGTGTCTAGCGACTGGGAAAACCGGGAATTGTCAGGGAAATTTTATTATCGGGGAAAATGAGTCAGAAATGCTATTGAGTGCTCTGAGCAAAGGCTTGAGGACTTGGGGGCAGAAAAAATAGGCATTAAATTCTGCTTAGAGTGGAGCGCAGGCTCTGCTCACCCGTCGTAGAGTGTACTACCCGATGCAAATGGAACGGCTGACAAATCCAGTCCAAGCCTTGGATTGGATTGAGGGCACGACACTAGGCTAGATCCAGTTACTGCTACTAGATTTAGTAACATATAGGAAAGCTGCAGACCCCAATCCAAGCCTTAAGCCAAAATTATCCGAAAGTGTGCATCTTGCGGCCATGCTGCCATTCGGTTATGAACGTGTGTGGTTGAGCGTCGTGTCTTCATTGTGTTTCTGGAAGTGGCCTCTTCACCGACGGTGTCGGCGGCAAGAAAGGGCTCGCTTAATTCGTACTGGACGAACCCGTATATTTCAGAATATTCAAGTTGGATTAAGCGCGTGCAAAATGATCCTCACAGTGCTGAATGCTCACTGCCTTGTGTTGTAATGATCTTATATATTTAACCGCCTCTACAGTGGTCTGGGAATTTCACCTGAAATTGTCTAGGAAAACCTGGAAGTGTCGGGGAATTTCAAAACAAGAATTTGCTAGACATCCTGTGTATATTATTGTATAATTATTAGATATGCTGATTGCAGTATATTTAATGTAGAGTCTTGAGCTATATTTGTAGGTTTAATATTTTGCACATTTGTCTGATCTCACATTTTGTGGGAACAAAACACTGCAATCTGGGTTGAATGATCCCAGGGACCCCATGTAGGTGTGACTGTTTGTGTAGATTTTTTTTTTATCCGTGGAAAGTTTAAGTAATCGGAGAATATAAGGCACTTATGGCATTTGTTTGGGTTGCACAAACTTACTTTTGGTTGTTTTTCCTTTTTAGGTCGAATTCTTCTCAAGGGTGAAAACATTACATTGATCATGAGCACCCAGAGCATGTGAAGGGGAAACACCATGAACGACGGTTCTTTGTAATGCTGGCTGCATTTTGTTTTGTTAATCACTTTCATATAAAGGCAATGAGGTGACCATTCATTTGTACTTTTATTCAACTCATTAAACCTATTTTGGTTGTCACAGTGGTCAATGTGTCATCCTTTTACATTATGTCAAGCAGAAGGAAAAAGATGATACATCGGAAGCGGGTATTTTAATTCGGGCTCTATTCCACTCTTCTCCTTTCACCCATCAGCTGGCAGTGGGATGAAAGCAGAAGAAACATTGCGACTTTGGCAGTCTGGCACTACTGCATCGTAAAGCTTCCTGGAGTTGCTTTTGAGAATGCTTTTCCAGATTACTTTACATGCTTTTGTTTACTAATTACACAAAATAAACGTGTGGCGCCTATGCAGAGCGAAAGTTTGTCTGCTTCTTGCACAAGGGTTGCAATTATGTCGGAACGCCTAGCTGTTATGATTGAAAAAAAAATAGTTGGTAGACCTCAAGGCATGTAGCATCGAGGCCTACCCACTATCCTTGAATCGGACCTCAGTTTTCAGGCATAGCCACAACCCCACAAAAGAAGCAGACAAACTGGCACTCCGCATTGACTGCAGCCATGTATCGGACAACAAAGTAGTACCGGCTTGTCCAGCACCCGCAGAAGGCGCCATCACGTGGCATGCAGCCAATACTCAATTGGTCCATCCATCGCATAGCTTCTATTCCACTTTCACCTTAGGAGTGAACAGAGTATGGATATGGTGCCTAAAGCACGTCCCAAACTTCGTTTAGCGTCCTGTCTCGCCCATTCATCAAAAGTGGTCCCGAAGTGGGCAAGACGTCTCGGAAGCTAGAGTGTCATGCTGTCTGATGTCGTGATCCTGGTGGTTGGTTGTAGACATGCTGGCAAAAATTGTGAGCATTGCTGTCGTCGCGGCGTCCCAACTTCTGGCTGCCAAAGCTTGCATGGACTGTTGCACTCAAGAGCGACCTGCGGCAGAACAGGCGTCTGCCATATTCACAACCACTGCTGGGACACTGCCAGGGTCGCAACTGGCGACAGCGTGACACTTTTACGACGTCGCCAGGTGGAGATGGAGGGACCTCTTTTGGATGTGGTAAACACACCAGTGGGAGACGCATTCCAGGCACCATAGTATGGAGCCTGTCTGAGGAATGGTTTTTAATGCTGGCTGCTTGTGCCCCATCAGGGGCACGGGAAGAAGCAGGGTGGCATGTTAGTTCAGTATTTTGAGGGACTTAAAACTAGGGCTGGGCAACTGATTGATTAACCTGCAGATTAATGCTTTGATCGTGATGGATTGTTTTAATCGGTAACATTTTGACGAACCAAAGGAAGTAAAAAATAAATGCTTTCACCATACAGACTTGGATGAGTAAACCTGTAGGAAGCGCACACTTCGGGTGAAATTTTAACCTAAAGTAAACTTTCGGGGGTAATTCCGGACAAGTGCAGAAGGTTACACGTGTCCCGGCCACTTCAACACTGTGCGAGTGTCCGTTTAGCACAGCAGACACTATTGTGAACAAATAAATTGGGTCCTCTTGCTGGAGAATATCTACGAACCATTTTGCCTCGTGCAGCTGAAGTAATATTCTGAGTGAAAATGTCCTTAAACTGTTGTTTTACAATGAAAAAAAAAAAAAAAAATTGCTTATGTGTTGCGAACAGCGTCACTTGACATCAGAATTTGGCAGGGCAATCAACACTTTTTTTCTATCCATTTCCAAAAATAATTTTATTACATACGGGGTTGCATCTTGCAAGGTCTTTCGACAGGGCAAAATGTTTATGTTTATGTGAATATTTATGGCGCGGCGGTGTTCGTACTAAACCACCGACATAAAATATGAGCCAACAAAATTCATCGACTTGTGTGCCCACATAAACGCTCGTGCCTGCAAGCGAACGCTGTTGAAGTGTAATCGAGGATAAACGACTGGTTTTATTTAACGCACGGCTTCAGATGTCGAGGGTTCGAATTTGCGACCTGCGAAGTAAAGCAAGACCTCGGCGCTGACTGTACCGGTGTCTTGCCTCCGCTGCCAGAATTTGCCATTCTTGGGAAAAGATGTGCCCGTTTGAAGCGCAACCTTTATTGTACTTTTTTTTTTTCTTTTTGTAAGAATGAATGAGCTAACCTTTGCCTGAACACAGTAGCGTACCAACTTGCTTTTCAGTGGAGGGGCAAACCAGACCCCAGACCCCCCGAGGGCGAGAAGGCGGTGCCCCAAGGTCTCCCTCAAGCGCCGCCGGCCAGTGTTTGCCGGTGGCGGCTGTTTCAGGAAGGGGGGGGGGGGGGGGGGGGGGGGGGGCAAGGCAAAACATGCCTTGCCCCCCCCCCACACACACACACACACACACTCTGAAAACGGGGAGCGACCGACCCCTTTGCCCCCCGGTTGGTACGCCCATGCCCGAACATGTTGCATGAAAGATAGAATGTCTGCTTCAAATGGCAGAATATTCCAGCTCCTGTTAAAACTGGTACCGACAGTGGTATCTGTTCTGGTTGCAGCATAAAACAGTTAGTGTACTGGTCTATGTGAACAGCTGACTTTTCGTGCGTTCCCAGTTTCGATTTCGAACTGCGCGCGCCGTGCGCATCGTCCGCCTTCGCCTAGGAGTGATCAGGTTGTTGGATCACTGCGTGAAACGGCCAATACGCACTAATGTTAAAGACTTTGATAAAAGGGAATCAGACCGCAAAATTGAAAGCCAATTTTGTTAATCGAAACTATGCTTACGATATATCCTTACGTTTTTACTACAAAACTTGTACGAAAATGGAAAAACCGTCAGTTCCGTTTATTTCCGCTTCTCCTTTCCTGAGCACCCGAGCGATTCGAGCGCGCTCCCTCGAGCCGGACTTTCGTACCTTGACAGTCCGTCGCTCCGGCTCTGGCGCGAGCTTGGTGGGTCATCCCCGAGCGGCTTGTCGGGCGGGGAGTGCGAGCTTTAATTTGATAAACGCTACACCTTTCTCCGATAGTGTATACTAGCTGAACTCTCCGGAGAGACTGCTTTGGAAATTGCTTGCTCTTCCGAGCGCTGGAAGATCCCGGCGTCGCGGCGCGGGTGTCATAAAACCATACCTCCTCCTCGGGTGTCTCGGTGTGTGTGCCCTGACCGAAACGAGTGCTTTGTGCTCGAAAAAATATTTAAAGAGCCAGCGCGACTCTGCTACACCGATCAGAATGACTACCCGTTTCACTGTGTCCAAGTCCGAGAAAAATCTTCTCGCGGGCGACGCTTCGGGTGAGCGACGGTACGGTTCGACGGGCCGAGGAACTTCGTCAGGCTACGAAGACTCCGACTTTCACGGTGAGTGATCTGAGGCGAAACTTCTTTTGCAGTTATTGTTACTCTTTATTTGTATTTACTTTTTTTTTTTTACTCGCGTTAGCGTTAACACGTTTTTTGCTGTTTGTTTTTTTCTGACGGAGATTGCGCCTTGCGACCGAAACTTCGTAAGTTGCAACGCGCGTGAAAGTTTTGACGCTTCTGCCCGAACTTGTTGATGCTTCACGAGAGCGAAAGGCGCGGCCGGCCGCGTTGGCCGCGTGCGGCCGCGAACAGCTGACACGCACGATCTGGGCCCTCCACCGGTCCTTTGCGCATCCTCCTTTCCGATCTCCGTGAATAGAAGGAGCGTGCGCTCTCGGGATGAAATAAGAAAACGCGATTGAAACGATAAAGAAAATAATCGAGTTGGATGGGGCTAAGTTCCGTCAGTCTCCGCTTCTCTCCCCGAAGTTGGGCGAGATCGAAAGCGTGATCGAAAAGCGACCGTACACATTCAGAAGTTGACCGCGTTACGTCACCGTCGCTCTTTCTTTTTTAGCTCTTCTTTTCGTCGTTCCGGATTCTCTTTCTCGGCGCGTTGGCTTCGTGGGCCGGCTCCATGAGCCATGTACGAGATACTAGACTGGGGCGTTTAACGATGTCGTAACAAGTGAACTGGCGCACCGCTTTTGCTGTTCTTTTCATTTGGTTTATTGCACTTGACCGACTTTGTTACGGCCGCTGGGCGTCATCGGCTCGCGTGTCACGCCATTCTTTTTCTCGAAACCATTCTATCTAACTCTTTTAAGTTGTTACTAATAATTAATTAATGCAAAATAAATATATATATTACATACGATAACTGCTTTTAGCACCTTCAATAGGTTCAATTTCCTTCAGCTGCAATTCCATAACTGATACTCTTTTTCCTTCTTTTAAACAAGTTCTTATAATAGCAACCGTAGTGGATTTAATTTACCTTTCAATGTATGTGTCGGTTAATCGATTAATCGGTCAAACGTGTACCCTTTATGGAGTTGTCACGGTCATCATCTACGTCGCTGTCAAACCCAGCATCAAGAAATTGGTGTTCAGTTTGCCAGTGGAAATTATGATATGCCTGTAATAGTGAGGAGTCAAAATGAAGTATAATTCATTTTGACTCGATTCTAATTTTTTTCTGTAAAACGTTGTTTTTATAAGCGTGCCATTTTTTTTCCCCCGAAGTATTTTGAAATGTTGCTTTTCCTCTATCCTTCGGTGTTGTGCAGGGGTGCATTTGTTCTGAAATTGCATAAACGCGAAACACGAGGAGGGTTTGGGAAATTTGAGGCACAAAACATTGCGTCGCGTTTTTGTTTGGTTTATCCCTGTACCTTCGGCCTTAGGTTTCGTTTTGTAATATAAACTACAAAATGTAAAAAAAAAAAAAAAAAAAAAAAAAAAAAAAAAAAAACCTTTTTTTTTTTTGTGTGTGTGTTTAAATATACTACGCGGTGCCGAACGCTTATTTTCGGCCACTATGTAATCCTAGAGGTTCAAACCAGATTCCAAAGTTTCAGTTATATGAGTGATTTTCTTAAATTTTCAATGGGAAAATGGCGGCCGACAGAGTTCTCGAACACATTGCCGAAAGCGGGCGAATATGGGCCCCATTGTGCCACTAAAAATTTGCGAAACTCATTTTCAGTTTTTGAATAAAAATAACGGTTAGTGTTTAAACTTTGGCATCTGGTTCATACCTCTAGCGCTACATTTAATTCCAGACAAATGGCGATAACACACTGAAGAAATGAAGTAAGGCAAGCGAAGATGGACAGACTCGACG